TTGGCTTGAGTTACAACGTGATCTTAAGAAGATCTGCACTAAATGCTTTCTAAGCTGTAGTGTCGACCTATTGTATGAAACTGAAATTTTCAATTGGAGACCAAGTAGGTGAAGCCAAGGGAAACCATCAAATGGCCTTACAATCTAGTAAGCGAGATGAGATCAAAGAAGGAAAGCATCCTATGACTGGAGACAAGAGGAAAAGAGGAGGTGGCCTAGAGCCTCATGGAGAATTGACGGAAATCCAGATTGATTTTTTTTTTTCTTAATTTTGAACATCTATAAGCAGGATAAAATTGTTGTTGATCCAAACTTTGAACTGCTCGCAAGCTGTGTTGGGTGATGACATATTATGATAATCGTGAACTAAAACTACTTGGAGTAAATCACGATGTAAAACTACTCAGAAGTAAATCATGAGCTAAAATTACTTGTGGAGTGAATTGTTAGATCATTCACAAGAATACGAGCTAAGAGAAGTTGGAAATACTCATATATGGATTAATCCAGACATAAAAAGGGGTCAACGCGACCTCGCGGAAGCGATTACATTAGCTAACAAGTAAAAGGAGAATATTCGGAATACACATATATGAAATAAGCTAAAAGTACTTAGTCAAATACACAAAGGCCACCAGGACCTATCAAAAGGCTACATTGTCACAATGGGCTAAAAGAAGATATTCAAAACATGAGCATTCACTGCATCGTCTAGTCTCGGTTCACTCTCAGAGAGACCTCTCCAGCGTCGACCTGTTCCACTCAACGTACGAGGGGGTTGAGAAAAGTATCCAATTTACTAGATAGCCCCACCTAGGTGATAGCGTTGGACTCAAGGCCGACCCACCAGGCATGATCGGGAGGGGGAGCAGGATCACCCTCATACCCATTAAGAAGAGGCGGACTCTCTTAAATGAGCTCCCGGTATAAACTACTGGAGAAGTTAATCTTCATTAGCTCGACCGCCACTGCATCAAAGGCAAGATGAATATATTAGAAGGCTGCACGGGTGATCTTATCAAGGAATGCGAGTGAGTTGAGAAAGTGATCAACGACCTCCTGATGGTAGGACTCCAAGAAAATGGAGCGCATGGGAGATAGGAAAAATGACCTTTTACCCTCAGACCGACTAGATTTATCAAGCTCTATCAGCTCGTCCTAGTGCATCTTGTCTTTATTCACCAACTCTTTCTCGTGGTTGTTGCAAGTTAGCTCCAACTTTTTGAGAAAAGTGGCCTTCTCAGCTTGGAGCTTGGCGATTATCGCATTGGTAGCCTCAACCTCTTCACCTTCTCCCCAAGGGCCTTTTCTGTAACCTCAAGCTTCTAATTTAAAGAAGCAAAGGTAACATCAAAATAACAAGCCCCTCCTCAAAGGATAGGGACGATAGTTGAGACAAGTTGTAAATAGATGAAATTAGTCACAATTTGATTTATAATGGGATAAACAACCTATTATAAAGATATTAACTCTAATCAGAGCCTGAGTTGCATAGCAATTTTGCTCATACTCGATACCCTCGAATCTGGTTATCTTCTTGGAGGGAAAAACCAACCTAAACTAGGCCACAATATCTGGCCAATATTTTTTGAGAGCCATCCTCGATGACTGCTAGAGGGTTACGTCACTAAACACGATAGGGGAGGGTGTCTTGAGTCTCTCTACCTCAGGAGGGGCGACCTGTTTACCGTGGGATCATTTTTTGGGGTCAGAGACAAACTTGGTTTTCTGGCACAAATCGAGCCCCCTTTTTTTAGAACCCCTAGAATCAGATTAGCTGGAGGGTTGAACCTCTATACCAGCTTCCCCAGCCACAACCTCAGGGGTCAAGGTCTTTTCAAAGTTTGAGCTCCAGCGTCGGGGACATTTCTAGTGTTGGAAGCAGTGGCAGTGGCGATGACTTGAGAATCCGGTTATTGGTTACTGGTCGCGACTGCATGTCTCTTATCTTTCTTCTTAACCTCAACCTCTTTAGATAAGGATCTGCAAAAAGGACAAGGATTAAAACGACTTGGGACAAGGATCAAGAAAATGACCTAAAAAAAAATATAAAGGCAATATTACGAAAGAACGCATGAAGGGCTACCCATGTCGTGCAGAAAAGGTACATCCTCCTAGGTCAACTCACACCGACTCCCCAGTGTCAACTACTAAGCCATCCAGCGAGCACTCAAAGGATTTTTATTCAAGGTCGCGATGATTTTGGTGAACTTAGTCGATCACGGCTTGTTCCTCCAGCTAACCCGCTCAGTTAACCACGAGTTGGTAAAACAATAGTAACCAGAGGGAGGTCGAATGAAAAAGTGTTTGCTTTTGCAAGAGGTTACATTAGAAGAAAGGTCATAAAAAAATGGGCCCCACTATGAGCTCCTAAGTAGTAGGTACCTTTTTTAAATTTTAAACCATAACAATAAAAAAAATATATCGGGAGAAAACTCGCGAATCCTCACTTGGAAAGGATTATGAAAGAAACCATAATGCGAATAGCATTGGGGAAAAAAATGGTTAATAGGAATGTTGTACAAGTTACTGAGTGTTAGAAGCTCGTATTGGATGAAAAACGAAAACCAAAGAGGTCTTGGCCTACAAAAAAAGTATAAAAACCCCTTGGAGAATTGACGTAGGTGTCGAAGGTGCCAGGAGCTCTAATTATTAGTCTGAGGGGAGCTCGCAGCAGACACGGAAGTTTTCGAGCTCAGCTATAGAAGCATAACAAACCAAATTTAATTTGGCTATTTTAGCTACAGGACAAACTAAAGTTATAACAAGTAGATCTAGGTCGAAAATGTGCTAAATTATTTGTACAAGGATGTCTAAGACCCGAAAAGGGATACCTCGGGGAATGAGCTTGACACTCAGAGAGCCCTCAATATTTGACCCATGGGAATCTGACAACCTCTGAGCTCGTGCGACCTCATCCCAATCTACATCGCCAGTCGATGCATCGACCAACCCTCTAGAAGAGCTCGGTCGGGCAACATTAGCTAGCTCGTGGATGATTATTTCTACAGACGACCCTGGGTGCTCATTAATCAAATGATTTAGGGAGTCACTGGAATTCGACTGAGGCATATCTATGATCGTTAGAAACGAGAAGGAAAACAAGTTAATACTGCTCGCGGGAGGAGAATCTACTTAAGACAAGATGCAACTATGAACGACGACTTAACTTGCGACCTAGCACGTACGACTCAGGGAAAACACACGAAAACAATGTCGAACTATTTCGAAGTGGATCAAATTGAAAAAACAAGAAAATTCGAAGAACGTAGCGAAGAAAACCAAAAGTTAAACAGAAATAACACACGACCAAAGAAGAAACAGACATCTTACACAATTAAAGGGATCAAAAGAAACTTACTTATTGCGATCTGCTAGAATTTACGAAACAAGGTAAAGAGTCGAAGAAGAAAGTTGGGAATCATAGAGAATTTCGGAAGTTTTAAACATGAAGGAGGCAAAAGTATTACCTTGACAAAAGAAGGATTATTTATAGACGACCTAAAGGATTTTGGACCATTGGATCACGCAAAAATTGTTGTCTCAGATCGTGCACAGATCTTAGAGGCGCAAAATTCAAAGCAACAAAACGTCATTTCACCTCTGCCCATCAGACGATTGACATGTCAGAATCTTTTCACCATTAATCAATCCATAGCTCAAGGTTGTAATGGAGTATTTTTATTTGGGCGAGGGGTGGGGGAGGGGGGAGGTAGATAATATGCTTATAATTGGGCTGGCAAGAATAACATTAAGTGTGAAGGGGTTGACCAGGTGGTTGAACGACTTATCAGAAGACCCTGACCGTTGAGCCTAGACTACCTAAAGTACTTAGATGACCTGAGGATCATTTGACGACCTAGATTCAATCGCACTACTTGAAGTGCCCCTGGAAGACCTAAACATCTGAGCACAAGATAGCTCGACCTCAATGGTCCAGGTTCAGGTCAAACGACTTGAGGAGAGTTGTGACAACCCGTTGATTATCACAAACAAACTTACAAGGGATAAAAGGGAATCTGATGAGGATAAGAAGAAATCTAATAGTGATTAGGATATGATTGAGATGATGATAAGGATAAGCAGATCAGACCAAACTCGAGAAGCCAAACAAGTTGACCGCGGGCAGTCAGACAATTTTGGCAAACTACTTCGGGATGATGTCCCCCTATCAAATGAGGCTGATGTACCACTGTATACACTCTACATTCGCACCACACTCTAAATAATTCTCTACGTTATAGATCTTATCATCTTCCTGTACTAAATTGATCGTCGGAGTGCTAGCGCCGGGAGACCCTCTCGGCCCCTTTTACCAGTCATCTTCAACGATTCAAGTATATCAGAGCTTTCAACCTGCCGGTTCAATCTAGACCCGAGTCGTCGACACATCATATTATATAATATAGTTTGCTACATTGCCCATATTATTTAGTGACAAATTCTATCAT